AACCTATAGCAAATCATTGGACGAAACAAACTGAAAAGGATAAACCGAATCGGCTGACGCGTTTCTATAAACGGCGTTTCCACCTAATTCAAACCACCCGGGAGTAAGTTTCATAGTTCGTTGTATTTTCATTTCACAGTTGAATTCTTAGAAACAAAATTACTTTTTCGCACAGGATTTGAATTTGAACGTACATAGCAACGAGTTAGCCGATTAGGTCCAAAACAAAGGAGACTGCACGACAGAAAGGCACTATGGGTACAGAATATGCACGAAGATCACTCACTCATCAACAAGTTATTGTTTTGTATGTACCTGCCGAGCTCTCCACTAGCATCATATAACAGGGCCCACTTTTTGCTTCCGAAAAATAAATAATAAATGAAATCGGTAAGATTAAAATAAAAAATACAAAAAATCGATGATCAGAGCTCGACTATACTGTGAGACGGCATCAAGTTGGAAACAATCAACTACGCATGCCTCCGGACCCCCTATAAAAATCGTGCCTTCGGCGCTCACCGGCCCCCCCACATATTTGACCGCTCAGCGGTCACTGTATACCCATAATTCTGTTCGAGTGTGCGTTCCTGCAATCACAGCCATTTTGAATCTGGAATAAATTTATTAACAACGATATGGTTTTATTTTGAGTTTCGGCGGGAGACTCAGAGCGAGCCAGTACCGGTCTACTAATTACCTAAGCGGTTAACTGTTAGAGAAACACAAGTGTAGCTGATAATTGTTTGAATATTGCACTCTTTCCAAAACAAAGTTCGTGTAACAGAGGGAGAACCAAAATGAACTGTGGATTTAATATTATGCAAAAATAAGTCAAATTTCGATTTTAGAAATTTCGAGAACATATAAAATCGACTAGTTGATACAGTCTATCCATTTAGACGATAAATCATAATATTTCCATAAACCTCAAGTTAGTGTGTTATAAGTGATAACGTTGTCGATACTTTTTAACCAATCACAGGCCGATCTTCGGGTTGTCCTAAGTATTTGTATTTCTATAACTTGTTTTGAGTTGCCAAAGTTGCCAGATTTATGTCATGGTCATTTATAAAGCAATGATGGAGTCTTATGTACCTGTTTCCTGTCATTTCGTTAAGTGCTTTCTTATAGGTAGATCGTTTTTTCATTAGCATAAGGTTTAAATTACCTTAAGATAACTGCAAACAAAGTTTATGTTTCAAACAAAACTTATTGATAATTATGGTCTACGAAAATTTGAGCTCCTTTATACATACCGTAGTTTATGAAGTGTTCAAAGATGCTATGTTGGTTGGTAAATTAAAGCGCGCGTTAATTGGCTAATACCATCTCACTATGAAAATTGGGGGGTTTACAGTAAAACATCACTCATGCTATATGGATCCTTATGTCAATGTCTGATCAATGTAGTCAATAATGAGACTGAAGATGGTTCAAACATTTTCGTGAAAAAAAAAGAACTTCAGACTTTCTCCATAACTGACTTGACATTGCTTATATCATACTAAATAGTATGAGTGCTAAAAATTGTCGACGAGAAAACGTTTTAAGGTGGTTCTTGCGGAATCTGCATTTTCAATGCTTCCAAATATGAGGGAGGAGGTGTTGGAGTTCTCGAAGATTCCTCGTCAGTTTCCCTTACAAGCATTTCTCTTATAGACTCACTAGATCGGTAATTGCTGGCTGTTTGACAATTTATGTTTAAAAAAATTGGTTGTTCGGGAATGCCATTGAGTCCTGGAACACTACCACTTAACCCTTGGTTACAATARGCCTGCATTGAGCAGAGTATAGATGGTGACTTCTCTTTCGCTGAGTCAGGAATAATACATGCAACAGTGTGTAGTGAGATCCTTCTKAACCCTGTGTTGTCASCTTCGCGGTCTCCTTTATTAGCACACAGCGAAAAGGCGATCATAAAAACCCCGATAATGAACAACCCAGCAGAAATGAAACGAAACACCTTTGCTGTAGTAATTTCATCGGCCGAGGCCTCGTGGCACGAGGATTCTTTACAGTCGTCCAAAAAAAYATATGAATACGACGCCATAACAAAACAGCCTACAATAAGAGCAATCCCCACAAATATTGATAAGCATTTTAAAATTCGACTTCTCCGTGTTCTTGTATTGTTTTGAGCTAGTCTTTGTTCGGTGTGGTCATCCATTTTAAGTTTGTGAATTATCAGTGTTATTGTAGTTGGATAATCGGTTCAAGAATAGATCACCAACCAAGCTACTTGTTCTACTGACCTGTAGACGTAAAAACGTGCTGTTTTTAACGTGCAATAGTTCCGACTAAACGTCGCAGACGTGATTACTGTCAAGAGGACAAAAGGGCAAAGGCACTTTTCGTCGCTTGATGTAAACAATAATACTTCCTGATTCGTTGAGTCACGATTAATCTTATCTTATCTTATTGCTATTCACGTCCGCTGGGTCCTGTCACTTTTGTGTATATCAAACAGACGGATTTTCATCAGATTATAAACACAATCGATGTCATTGGAGGTAAATATGAGGAAGTGATGGCCTTAGCACATATGTAATCAGATCTAAAAAAAACTCGATATAACGTTAGAAAATCAGTCTAAACTAACTGGCTGTGAAAGACTGATCGATCTTGATCTGACATTCACTTTCTCTACACCTGTTTTAATCCGGAGCATTAAAAAGATTGCAAATTAAAGACCCATTAGTTAACGCGCCCAAAGGCACTTYTAAAAGGTTATGTTCCTTTTTTATTACGTAATCCAAACGTCTGAAAATATATTTGCATGAACTATCAGTATAGAAGTCTTATATGATAACAAAATATCTGTTGCCGGGATAACATTTCTTTTTTCCCTTTAATCTCATAAAGGATTTTTTTTAAATATTTTCGAAAACGAACATTTTTGAATGCTACGATCATCCGAAGAATCTTTTTCTGTGCCCCGGCGAACCGGTTGAAAAAACATTCAATCGTGATTTTGATTTGGCGTTTTACGCTTTTTTTAGTAAGCCCTTGCAAAAGCGCCCTAGTACGTATGCCCGTGATTTCAGCTTTTTGCTAGTATCTTCTTTCTGACGTCATTCTGTTGTTTTTGAACGTACATCGCTCTGTAAAAGCTATCATGTGTGTTTCTAGTGCAAATTGGAAGCTCCCACAATATATATATATTGCAATCTCAAAATGTTTTGCTAATTTATCAGCGGAGGAAACGAGGAGAAAAATAGATGGAGGGGAGCAAGCTCATTTCCAGGCCCTTATTCCTTTGGACGAGGTTGTGGGGGGAAGGGAGCGGAAAGGAGAGGACACTCCTTAGTTTTTTGAACATCAGTCTTGAGCTCTGAGAAAAATAATTGTCTATAATTCTTCAATGATTTCTTAAGCTGGTTTGTCCTTACCACTGAACTAGATCTACAAAAATTTGAGCTATTCCTGTTTATAAATATAAATTGTTTGCAAGTACTTCTACATTAATTCTTCAGACTTTTATAACTCCGAAAGTCTTGTTGATAAAACTGCATGTACAAAGTCATCAGATGGCTCTTTGACTGAAGTTCCCTGTTGGACGCCCGATGAGGTGGACTGGCTTCGAATTGCTTCCTTTTTCCCGAACAGCTTAATATGAGCTTTCAACCAAAGCGACACTTTAGTCGCTGATTTAAGACAGTTCTTCAGGTCTTCTTCTACAAAAGGGACAATCCACTGGTGATTTTTGAATTCTTCTGTATCTTTGCCATGTTTTTCTGCCATTTCTTCGACTTTTTGGTGTCAGTTTTCGTAGGATTTAGCAGATCGTATTAACATTGGAACCTCTTCCATTTCAAGCTAAAATTGTTTTGCAAGATCCTTTCTATCAGCAGTAACAAAATGAACGATTCTAATTGCAACCGATACTTCCAAACAATGGAAATAATATTGCCCTTACAGAACAATGGAAAAAATTGCGCGCGCTTTCAATACTCACACGCGCACTATTTAAATAGGAGATTGGTTTCCCTGTGGTAACATTGACCTGGAGGTCCTGCGTACTAGGACTCTGTCAATGAGGGAGTTTCGAATATTTTCATTGCTTCCGATTTTCCTGAAGCATGACTATCTATCATGACTAGTATTATTCTTTAAGCTTGTCAACAATGGATGAATTACTCCTAGATCTATTTCAAAAGCTCCACGATACGGCTGAAAACAGGGGTTTGATCGTAGAAGATGACAAGGAAGCCATCTTTAAGAACCTAAAATCAAAACAAGGTTTGTCATTGAATATCTGTGGTGTGTTTAAAAAGAAACTGGAAAGTCAACTAAGATATCCCTCTAGAAAAGAGCTCTGATTTATTATTTTGTATTTATTGGTTTGTAGCTTGTATTTATTTAAGAGTTAGTGAAAACAGCATAAAAGATTATTTATAATTGACAAACCCTCATAACGACCATAATTTTGAACCAAGCCCATCGGGATACTGAAATACTGGCGTTATTTATGGTTTCTAAAGGTGGCTTGTTTGTATTTTTCGTTCTTTCATTATGAAATTCACAGCAAGAAATGTTTCTGGAAGGTTCACTGGCTATTTTACTTATCAATCATGATTGATTGTYACTKTAGTGCAGTTTTCAATCCATTGGGTRCCCTGGGGCTCTTTGTTGTATTGTGTCTGTTGCTTTATTTGATTACATTAAATCAAACATCAATCAGAAAATTTGTTGACTTACAATGGTTTATTCAATTACATCTTATTGACAATTCGTTTTCATATTATTATTATTTTATTCATAAATATAATTAATAATTGTATTATGTAAAAGTGCTTYCAATACTAACCTCCTTTGACTAATTAGCCTTTCACAATCTATTTACATTACATTAGAATATGCCAAGTCACTTAGTTGTATAAAATCTATGTAAAAAAGACGGGATAGTCTTCTCTGTTGCATTGAATTAAAGAATGTAAAATACTTCAAGATGACCAAGATTTGACCAGTCAAAGCATATTTTAATAATATTGAAATTATTTAAAAATGTGTCTGTTCATACAAAGAGTTCGCTGATCAAACAAAACAGACGTCTGTTGACCTTCTCTTATTTTTATCCAATTATATTTATGTTTAAGTTCTATTCTCCTAAGATTTCATTTCAGATAAATGCTGTTCACTGAATCAGTGCAGTAAGTTTCTCCATGTCTATTCCTTATAGAAGTATTGAATGTCACTACAATACAAAGTATATTGGAGTTACTCAAGAAAACCTTGATGCATGCTAGAAATGTTCTTGACAAAGCAAAAGTATTTGATATCTTAGCAGAGCTTGCAAAATCAGGTAAGTTTGCCCAGACATATCATTTAATAAAAACAGTCTTGGTAGGAGCCAGTATAGCAGAAAAGCATACGTCTGTAGATGCTGTTTTTCTACTAGATTGATTTCGTGTCTGGATACCATATATGATATATGTTTGTAAGTGGGCTCCTTCTTGTACTCTAAGGAGTTCCCTTAAATTCACTGGTATTATTTTTGATTTTTTCAGATGAAGTGAGAGATTTCTGTGTGGATGCAGGTTGGATAGCTATTGCATTGGATTATTTGGAAAATGATGAGCAAAGTGTGGTGTTACATGCTCTGCGATCAATTGGAAACATTTGCTACAATAATGGTAAGTGGGTTATAGGATAACATAGTAAGTTATAGTTGGCTTGGTTAAGTGGAAAAGTGCTGGATACTTGGTGAAACATTGCTTGATATAGGCAACTGTTCTTTTGCTAATTGAGCTCATCGGAATGCAAACTCTACCTGGTATACAATGTTTCTCCTCCTGTCCCTCCTGTGAGGAAATCTTCCCTTTGTAATTTATGGTGCACTAACAGTACCGCTTGCAAATAATGTATCATTCACTCGCAAATAAATATACTTATTTGGATCGCAAATTTGCAAATAGATTCTTAGATCGGTGTTTATCATTGTTTTTGATAACGTTCCTAATTTGGAATACTTGATTGTTATTCTGCAGAGTTGGGCCGCAAAGCATTACTGGGTGCTAATGGTGCTGATGACATCTCACGAAAATTGCAATCATTAAATGAGAGCTATGACCCTACAAAGGACAATCGAATGGATGTAGTTACCTGTGGTTGTGTACTGAATCTCGCTACTGATGATGGTACTAGGACTTGAAATGAATGGTTATGTCATTGGTCACTGTCCCTTTTAATACACATTGTTTTTTTTTTCAGTTGAACTTGCTGAAGACTTTGTAAACTGTGGTGCAATGCCTCATTTATTAGGCCTGACTCAACAAAGTATYCATAGTAACCCTGTCCTTTGTAGAATGGCTGTTTCTGCAATTTCTGAGCTGATGGAGTGTCGTAAGTATCCTATGATTGCATTGCATTACCATTGCAATGGTAATATCCTAACAGAGGAAGGGAAATATCCTTAAAATTTACAAAAGTTGTACAAAATTCTTCTACATTGCAAAAACTAATAAGTTGGTCCAACATTTCTGCTTTCTGGCCCATTTTAACCTTTTAAATAACTGGTTGCCTTGTATTAAAAAGCTTATATCTTTATTATATCAATAATATAGATGGTCAATTTTTTTGTGTCTTTTAACAGCTAATGGCAAAACTAGCTTCAAAGAGAGTGGTGGACCTGCTATACTCCTACAAGCCCTTAAGGAAGATTACAGAGATGAAGAGCTGTCTTATCTTTTGCTTGAAACACTAAACCCATTAGTTATGGGAGATGGTTAGCTCTTGATCAATCAATCAATCACTCAATCAAGCAAGCAAGCAATCAATCTATCTATCAATAAGTCAATCAATCAAGCAATCTATATACATTAATGTTGGCGCTTCTGTTTCATTGTTTAAGATATCATGAAAAAAGAACTCGTCAATGCTGGATGTACCGAGGCACTTATTCACGTGGTAGACTCGTGCAAAGGTCGTGAAGATGACGAGAGCTCGAAATACCGACTGGAGACAGCTTCAGATATGATTGTCACTATYCTCACTGATGGTAGGACTGAATGTTGGAATTTGAATATTTAACCTTCCATTGCTGTATTGGTTGCATGATATTTTACTATGCTAACACCGTGTGAGCCATGCTGTGCAATTTCAAGTAGACATTTATTTAATTTTCTGAATTTATAGATGAGTGCATGGCAAGATTATTCCAGGATGGTAATGGAATCGTTGTCCAGGAATGTGCTAACTGGTTGAATTCAAGRAATAAACATTTAGAAATCTCTGGTGCTCTCGCTCTGGGAAACTTTGGACGATCAGGTATGACGTTTTCTGAATGTGAAAATGTTCTGGTTTTATGTGTGTCTTGTGTTTTGACAYAAGTATTAACAAGATTCATTTATCATAATCTTAATAGTAATCGTATTCTTAGTCATAATCGTAAACTTCATGTGAGTCTCAGTAGAGATTTTTATCTTTTTTTCGTTCAGATCACAACTGCATCAAGCTCGTAGAGAAAGGTGTCCACAAAGATTTGYTGAACTTCTTGCCAATAGCCAAACAAAGACCAGTAAGTTCTTCACTGYTACCTGCCTTGTTGCAGAGGTTCGATATTGTTGCACTCTTTCTCTTGAAAGACAGCAATCACTGTGTGATTAAGAACAAGATTACTTTAGTAACAATTTCAAATCAATGTACTGGTGCATCTTTTAGGAGTCTTTTAAGTACATTCAAGCAATCTTTGGTGCTCTCAAGAACCTTGCTTTACCTCGTAAGTACCTGGGTCGCGGGCACGTATTTCTTTAAACACACATTTTGAGAAGTTTCTTCTCTTGTAAGAGTGACTTTATKTCTATTTGCAGTTCCTAACAAACCGATTCTTCTAAACGATGGGTGTTTGGAGGCGTGTYTGTCCCARTTATCTTCACAGTCATCACTYGTGTTGACTAAAGTTCTTGGTACAATGTGCGCTCTTATGGCGGCTCCAAGTAAGTTGTTTATAGACTTAATGGGAAGTCCAAACAGTTTTGACATACAGTCGAACCTCTATTAAGTAACCCTCTATTTAGCGGTCACCTTCCATTAAGCGGTCACTCATGAGTTCACTATAAGTCGATTCTCAAGTACATTTACTGTAGAACATGACCTCTATTAAACGGTCAACATCTATTAAACGGTCAACATCTATTAAACGATCAACCTCTATTAAACGGTCAACATCTATTAAACGATCAACCTCTATTAAACGGTCAACCTCTATTAAACGATCAACCTCTATTAAACGGTCAACCTCTATTAAACGGTCAACCTCTATTAAACGATCAACCTCTATTAAACGGTCAACCTCTATTAAACGGTCACTTGTTCTTTCCCGAAGGTGACCGCTTTATAGAGGTTCGAATGCATTGCACCGGAAAATATCACTGCCATAATTGCATCTTAATTTATCATGAAAACCATTAGCAAATATGCCAAAAAAACTCATGTCAATAATTTAAGCTAAAAATATTGCAGACGAAAGAATTTCTGTCGCTATCATKTAAAATGCATGTACTATCTTTGTTGTCATAGCCGATAAAGTTCCTTAAATCATCTTGTACTTTCACTAAGGCTGAATAAAGAACACCGAATTTCATTCCAGAAATCATCCGATTTGTCACAGATCATCATTTCTCATGAAGTCCATTCAAGATGCACGCATGTGAGTTCCTCTAACAAACGTCCATGACACCAGAGTAGCTCTGATGACACCTCGAAATACAGTCGTATTGTGTTCATACCGTAGTGATCTAGAAAAAAATATGCGTCTTGTATCAGTGTTTCGCCTTCTCATTTCATTGTCCGCAAAGGAATCCTTCAAGAAGAAGCATGTTCTCGTGAGCTCATCCACCATTCGCTTTCTCTAGTGTATGTCGACTAATCGACAGAATTTTGTCTTACTAGGCAAAGATGCATCGGTCAAATCTTCGGCAGGTATGAAAGACCGTTGTCGCAAACCATTCACTCAGATCTACACTGTGTTTTGAAAACAAGCGTTGCGTACTTCGGTAAAACTTTAGATATCGTCTTGGAGTTAAGATAGTTTTGCCGGAAACAAAGCGTTATGTCATGTTATCTGAAAGTATATAACATTGACTTTCGAGAGAATGACTAGCTTATGGCCTATCGAAGTCTCAGTATCTACTGACTATCTTTCTTAAATGGAACTCCTTTGATAAAACTTAAGGAAGTTCTTGGGATTTCAAACTTCTACGGAAGYTGCTACAAGCACCAAGCACATTGCACTGCAAAATATGTTGCCGCGAGGGATTGTAGAATACACTTCCAAACGGTAATATGGGACGACTTTCATCTCGTGGAGAAACATACAGTTCKTCTTGCACTGGAGTTTGAAGTATTGACWAGGGATGGATTCATCAGTATTCCATACCGATAGTTCGTTTTTTCTCCATTCTCTTCCGCAAGCTTTTGTGAAAAGACACTGCACGTTCACGTCTGCCATCTTGAATTGASATGTATTGTATTTTCGCGCGTTTTTCCGCAATTCAAGATGGCGGGCGCTAACAAGAAGTGGTGTGGTCTTTTAGCTGTATAATTAATCATGGTTYACRSGATTTTATTATAAATKATACTGTATATTTAAACATAGTTAAGACCTATTRCGTKTTTGCAGAAAATTCAGCCGTCAAGATTGTAAACACCAAGGGACAACTGGACGTTCTGATTCGTTTAAGCAAAAGTACTGGGTATGAAGATGTGAGAGTCGAAGCAAGTCGRATACTGGCTGTTGTTGTAAAACATGGCAATTCACAAGGTAAAATAAATAAATAAATTTAGAACTGGATGATATGTTAGTGATGGAAGGCAGCTTTCTCCTGGATGCATGGTACTTCACTGACACGTAAATGTTGATGGAAAAATTCGCTGATTTTTGTGTAGTAACCGAGTAGTTAAAGAAAAATTGAGCAATTAGGCGTTTTCAGGGATAGTCTCAAAAAGTACGTAAGACATCCTGGCCTCCTCCGCAGGTCACTCCAATCGAAGTTTAGGACTTTGATTAACGAAAATATTGTGTTTTTCTTGTCAGAAATAAGTCACAAAATGATTACAAGTGGAGGACTTTCACAGATAGTAGATATTGTGACGTCACCGAGGAATGTGGTTCAAAACGAGGCTCTGATTGCAATGACTGTACTTGCCACTACAGTTAAACGTGAGTACAAATCTGTCAATTAGTCATACTGAAATGACTTGAGTTGGTTGTACGAAGGGATCAAAACATCTCAAAAATTCTGCAAAAGATTTAACCTGAGTATCAGGTCTTCAGGAAGGTTAGTGTGTCTGATCCCTCTCGTACGATTGACCACAGATGATGTATTAAAAATAATGATGATTGACTTCATATGCCAATTGTAGCGTACATACTGTACTGTAGAGATATGAGATACTATTTCTGGTTAGTTTGTATACAGGTCTCGGTTCCGATTCCTAGACCAGGATTTTATGAGTGGTGCGTTCCTGGACTAACCAATTGACTCTTTAAGTGAATCTCTTCACCAAGGTGTTTGATAGGGGCAAGGTTTCCCTTGTCTTTCGTGAGTGACTAACTTAAACTGTTTTGCGTGGTTTTCAGCGGAGTTCTACCCTAAGTTACGAGAGACTGGATTGACGCAGTCATTGCTTAAACTCATCAAAGARGGAAATCTTTCCACTCAGTCGTGCTATAATGCTATGGCTTACCTTGAAGCACTTTCCCTGAGAGGTAATTATTCATAGTTATGATAGTATAATAATCCATGCTGTTGATTATTGAGAGGCATATAGTCAGGTAATTTTACTGACGCACGATAGACGACATAGCAATTAATGGCGGTCGCCATTGTTGGAATTGGTGGCGGAAATCCAAGACTTCAGTTTATTGTTAGTTTATGTGATCTTAAAGGTCGAGGTGCATCCAAGGGCCTTTGCGACCGTTTCTTTTGTTTTACAAATAATCTCTTCTTGAAAGATCCTTTCTGATTGGTTCAAAATCAAAGATGGCGAATTTTGTGAGAAAATGGAGTAAAGTCCTTTTGGATTCACTTGCGCCTTTAATAGGCCATTTGCATGATGGCGTAACTTTACTACAACTACCAGAAAGCCTTGCGCATTTTCTTTGTTATTCAGATTTTAATCCCCTTAGCGATTAGTAAAACAATTGGCACTAATTGCAGTACAAAAGAAAGTGGGAAAAGCATTCTGGTAGTTGTAGTAAATGACGCCATAATGCAAATCGCCTGTGCACAGCAACTTTGCAATGCTACAAAAACCCGTTTTATAAGTTATTTTCTTTATGTTAAGCAGACATGTACSTCTATTTCCACTATATATCAAATTGAGCCGCTTATTATCGATGTTTGTTCGTAGATTATTTTGCTAGAGATCTTCAAGTCGCTGGTTTTGGTCGGATAATGGAAGGATTGATCGATCACACAGATGAAAACATTAAAAAACGCGCCCTCATTATGGTAACCAGGCTCAAAGCAAAGAAACTCGAGGAGGAATGATAGTAAATACAGCAGCCAATCTGAATCCATTTTAATGAACTAGCAAGCTCACTGAAAATTACTTAACATGCAAGATMTAAGGCAAGGTCAAAACAATTCACAATTAATTTAATATTCCTTAAACTGCATGGGAATACATCGTTTMTGAAATGGTTGCTGCCCCGACAATGGCTGTTGGTATGACTTAATCRACATTGSTTTTTATTTAAAAAATTGATTTTAGTTTTCATGATAAATGCTGGTTTAATTGGAAAGTAATGATAGACTTTATTTATAGATAGTATGAATCTCTTTATATCAACTGCCATATTTTGATTTCATTGACTGAGCTTTCAATCCTTAGATCCAGAAAAGACAATTTTTTATTTTATTTAATGAATTAAGGCATTTTATAGGTAAACAATTTTCTAATAAATCAACTAATGAACAGTAAATATTTCTAGAGTATTTGAACTTTTGTGCAAAGGACGATCGAGTATAAAATGTCTTTATAAAGTTTTATTTTGATTTGGTTGGACTGTTAAAACTTCGGTGCCATTTAATGGCTKTGTTGGAAGTAATGTACAACAGCTAAGAATGCGCAAGAGCAGCTCTTGATTTTTTCAGAARAATGAGTTTCTAAGGTTCTTCATAATCGTCWCGATATTCGCCCTGATCATCATCATCTCCCTCTTCGTTATAATCAGATCGATAATTCGAGTCAACAATGTGCGAAATATCATCTACCTCCTTGCTGGAGAGATCCTCRTGGTTTTGAATAGCATTTCCAACAGCACTGACCAACTTSCCTCCAAGTGATATCTGGTGACTCATATCRTCTCCAAAGTTCTGTGTCAGGTCGCTAAGATACGTCACACCTTTACCCCCAGGGAGTACTTGTGACAATGGAATATATGGAGGTCCTAGTGGCATACGTCCCCATAAAGGTCTGCTATCAACTCCTTGAACATTTGAAGAGTGTTGCAAATGTTTATTAGTGACATACATGTGAACTTGAAATCGCTAGTATTTGGTCTTTTATTCCGTATTTGTATGAACCAGGAAAGCGAGGAAACCTCTGCACATTGAATTTTAGAATTCTAGTGGAAGTCATTACATTTGGTGCGAGGTGGGCCTCTTCATTTCAARAAATAAAGGTAAAATAGTTTTGATAATTAAATGAGATGGCGTCCATTTTAAAAGGTTCCACTCCTTGCAARGATTTATGGACCTTCTCGATTTACCATAGATCAGAGCTTTATACTGCTTAGATTTCATCATTCCACTGATTTTCACCGAAGCTATTCAGGTCAGTGATCAGGGAGACACAAATTGTGAGCTTACCTTTGAAGCGAGAGATCCCCAAGACAACGACAACAACTAGCACAATTCTGGCTACACATCTTCTATTAAACATGTTTGTGCCTCATTGTACAAATATAATGTTTTCATTTATATTAAAGATAGGACTGTCAGAAAAAGCCGTCAAAGGTCTACCTACCGTTGTAGGCCACCTGTTTTCACGTATGACCTGCTTTACAAGGAATTTTAAAACATCAAGAAAATTACAACTAATTTGTTMTAGTTTTGTAGAAAACTTGATTTGTAATTTTCCATTTATCAAGTGTTTTTGCAGTCTGTAACAAACAGYTCTGTAATCCATCCTCTTAAAGGATCGTYGAACATATACAGAATCTTTCACTAGTTTACAGATTCCGCAGAGAACATTCTACAAATCGTAATGCCAMCAACTTCCATTTTGAATATTTTTGTGAAAAARACCCTAAGAGATTGTACATCTGTCGTGGGATATTTCCCTGAGTCAATACTAKTGCCAGRCTCTYATTACATCATTATGTCAAAAGTCATCGTGGCTCAMTGAATGTACAGAAGATTTTTACAGTAKYATGAGTTTATTTGTCTTCCGTTTTACTGCTTGTTCTTTGACTTTTTCTTCTGTTGCTTTGATGTGCGTTTAAAGCTTGACGAAAGTTTATGTAAAACTCCGCTTTGTTCTGATCTTTCCAGTTTATGTCTCCTAGAAAAKGGACCGGCATTCCACACGCCTGATCTTTCAGATGCTCTGACCAGATTACCAGCAGAAGGCATTTCCTGGGAAGCCTTGAGAATCTTTCCTAGAATTCCTAATGGTTTTCCATGACGGTTTATGATACCCTCGTTGAACAATGACACTGGCATGTTGTTCTCTTTGGTTCCGCCTCTTCTAAACCCAAGAGGAGCTTTAGCTTGAACGYTAATGGCCGCACCCATTTGATTTGAAAAGGGTGGGAACTTATCGTCCACTGGTGCATCTGCAGTAGTCGTGTAGCCTGGTTTTATATCATATTGCATGTTGTTGGATTTCTGCTGTGATTGCCCCTGAAACATCGCATTTATGCTGTTCATGTTCATGTTACTTCCGTCCATAGTAACAGGAACTTCGTCGTCAAATTGTGAGCCAGTCACTGGTGAAGAAAAAGGAAAAGCTTAAAACGCGGTGTTTTAGAATTGAATGTCTTATAAGCAGATGTATCTACAGTTAACCAAATATCGCCGGCTCCTAAAACCCTCCTATTGCTGAGCAGTTAATTTAATATTATTGAAAAGACAAGAAATTCTCAATCGTCATCAGAACCTTATCAAGAATTTTCAAGCTGCCAAATTATTCATCTCATTATATGTTTTGCACAATTAATGCATTGCAATAAATGTGGTGTATAATTATATGAAATATATGGAGCTGAACAACGCTGCTGTGGAAATGGAAATCTCTAGATTTCTTTGTTTCACTCACTTGATTTAAATGTGTTTCCCATCGGTTCCAAGTTAGTATTATCGTTACTTCTTTGTGGTTGTATGCGATTTGGGAACAATACCGGGTCCTCAGGGTAGATCGTTTTTGCTAATTCCTTATTATTTCGTTGACCTGGTTCRGAGAAYTTCGGCCATTGAGATGTAGCCTGCACAAAGTCAACTTGTTCTGGCGACATCGTATTCACTTCCATATTTCCGAATACTTTTCCTCTATGCAACGCATGACTTCCTTGATGGAATTCTGGGCTTACTAGGCTTTGAAGCTTAAATTCGGCCTCGTTGATTTGCATCATATCTTGGCCAAGCATTTCTTCTTTCTTATGTGGTTTTACTTCGTCATTTTCGTGAGATTGTTTGTGAAGGGACGCGGAGATTCTCTTGTGGCCTGCGAARCGGTGAGCGTGTACATGGCTGTGGACTTTTTTGTCTAGAACAGAACAAAAGAAGAAAAGGTCAAGTGATRCTGATGGTTTTTCTAGAGGGCTTTTTAATGAAGTATGTATATCTTGKACCATAAATTCATGAATGACGACGGATATATCTCGCAAAGTATCAGGTTCGATTTTCGCTAAGAAAATTCTTCATGAATATTAACAATCGCCTTCAATTTTTTCAGCAAACCGAGTTTGCAAAAGAGAATATACAGGCTATTCGACGACCTTGTGTTTACACTTYAACATTCTGAKTTAAACGTAGGATGAAGCAAAAAACTGTARTTTATCCTCAAAAAAGGGCGTTGCATWAAGAAAAAGTCAGTATTTTCCATAGATAACTGTTCGATGGTCTGTCAGGWTTTTTTTGATTAGTCAGGKTTTTTTGATTATTTATACATGATATACAATAATTAACCAAATTAAAGAAAGACAGAATATAAAAAGATTAGTAGAATATAAAGCGATTTATAAGTATCAGAGATGAAATATTAGACTAAACAAATATCAAAACAGCAGGACTGACATCAAAATCATGACGTGATTTATAGACTTTCATTTAGAAAAGCAAAGACATCRACTTGATTTTTCTACCCACCATGCTCTCGATTTGCTCTACAACACAGCARTCCCAGCAGTCCAAWCAAGACAAAAAGATAGCAGTCCATTGTACTGCGAGAAAAMCTTATTCCTTCATTACTGCGGATTCTGCCTTGACCAAAAACGTTGAATTAACGGGTAGGCTTACAGGTTGTGTCACAACGGTATCCAGGCTATGRCGTCACATGCATMTTTTACTTCCGGTTTATGATGRCTGTCACTTGTTATAACAGTTTGGCGGACAAACAMAGCTATGGTCGTTATACAGGGCTACAATAAACTTACTGTTAGTGTGACATTTTGGTAGATTTTATATCGATGGGAACCGATTTCATCTCGAGTAGTTTTCAGGAAACTATTTTACAGCGAAAAATGCAGTCAACATGAAAAGATTGTTCTCTGAAATACTATCGTTGTAATGGAGTAAATGCATTTAGGGAAAAAGAAGGTGTGTAGTGCAATACCTGTGGTGCAATTCATTGGCATTTGATTTGACGTCTTGGCATTTTAAGAGAAAACGCAAGATGTAAATATTAGCTTCGTCGAACGGGACTGTAATAGCAAATTGCATAGAAATCCGTATTTTTTCGATAGCAAACCATATAGTTCAAGCTTGTGGCCCCGTGAAAACGGGCTCACCGGATCACTGAGTTACTCAAGGTTCTAGCAGTTCTCGCTTTTATTGCTGCGTCACGTGATATGGATGACCTCATCTTTATTTTCAATTTTAGCTAAAAGGTAAATGTTTACTATGGCGAATTGTTTTATAAACGTTAATAATGCTTAAAGTCAAAGAAGAAATCTAACAATGGTACTTTGTGATAAAGGACTGTTCGTGGTTTGGTTTGGTCTGGCTGTAATGCTAGGTTAGTATCGCCTTATTAAAAATCACRTTKGAATSTGAGARTGGTGATTGAAAATTTCAGCTTGCTTAAKATGTTYGATAATTGTCCAGTCTGAAAGTTAGGAATTTTTTCAATCACCAATTCTGAATACATCTTAAATTCATTTATGTTTTTTTCGATTTCTGATGAGGAAATTTATTCTTGCAGTCATTCCGGCCAATGCACTGGAAAGGAMCCGAAGAATTCTAAATGAACCTGGGGATGCTACGAAGCCAGGAAAAACTTCTTTACCTTTCCTTAAAAGGCARCAAATTATCTACCTGCTCAATAATAATCATAATGACAAACGCACAAAGCAAAYAATCAAGCCAATGGAARCATAYGCCAAAGAGCTCACCCCTGATGGMAAAGTAGTGAAACCTCATGCAACGAARTTTCTAAATTCAGAAGATTTTCATGGAGGAGGTGTGCAGGAAATAGCAGTTAACAAAGGGGATGGTCCTCCTATATTTG